TAAATAACTTTAAACTAGGAAAAGAAATGTGTGTTTGGATAACATGGCGAACTAAAGCTAGGAAGCATCAGATCAAAATAAATGGAACAAACATGTTTTGGCAGATGTAGGAAAGCATTCTAAAATATCTAAAAAGAAGAGCTTTCAACATGAATGTGCTTCCTGGTCATGGGTTCCTTTTCATATACCACTTTGCGACTTTATGACTCTAATAAATATTTGGGACAGGAAGAACTTCTTCCTGATATATTTTCCAAACACACCAAACTTGTTCAGCCTTCATAATTCAGCAATTTTGACACCAACAGGTGCAAGGGTTCCTAGGAGATCCTGGGACAAGATTTATGTGATCCTGAAGACTCGCCTGAGTCCACTGAACCAACAGCCACTTGGTTTCTGAACTTACATTGAGCTGAACAGATGACAGTGCTGTAACTAGATCTGACTGGAGAATACTTTGGCAGTTATTGGCACAGTTAACACTAAGGCCGTTCTACCAGTTCAAATTGATTGCACCTAAAAAGGAAGATGTGAATCTACATTTAATGATCTAAACACATGAAAACTTTTTTTTTCTTTGCTATTCCCCTGCATTTGTATTTTTAAATATAAGAGGAAAAGTATTGTTTTTATGGGATGTATGTGTGAAATGTGTGAAAAAAATCTTTCCTTCTATTTGCATCTAAAGAGTTGCAATAAAGATATTTTCTCACTAAATAATAACTGAATGCTTCATCAGGTGGGATACCAGATCCCACCTGATGAAGCATTTAGGTTTCCTTTTGTCTGAGTCTGTTTATGATTTCAAACATTCTCCTCAGATTCCCCAGAGGAGTCACAACTCAACTGCAGGCAGGCCAGTCCACTACCCAGAGCCTCTTCTTCCTCAGCCACACCTTTAATGCTGCAGGGAATTGTTGTTTAACACTGAAAAGACCGCAGGACAGATGTGGTCTAGATATGGTCGTGTGTTACCATGGAATCCATGAATACTAAGACTGCGTTCGAATACATTGTAGCAGAAAAAAGGAGAGATGCTTTTTAGTGTTCCACATATGAGAATTAAAGAAAGAAAACTTTGTTGGATGAAGAGCAGTGAAAACGGAAAGAAAAAGCTCATCTCTTTACATTTCTATAATTGTCGGAAAGGAGAGCTTGTTTTTCCCCATCGACTCCCCCACTACAGTCTATTTCTGCCAGCTGCAGAACTGGGATCTAGAATGTTGAGCATGCTGGGGGTTGGGGTCCTGTTTGCTGTTCCCGTAAGTCTCCTACAAGACCACACAAACCCTCAGTCCAACTAAGCACCACCACGCCCTTTAAAATCACTTTACTTATGCGCTTATCAATTCAGTTTTTATAAAAAATTATAACATATGCACATTAAGATCAGTCTAAGCATAAAATTAGCCTTTTTTACATATTACTTTAAAAGAAAAAGACTTTCCAATGATGTCAGAACGTTTAGGAAGCATAATGTGAAGAAAAAATAACCTGATGAACTATAACAGTGTCTTTCCTTCAAGTTAAACTCAATAAGGCAGACAGAACCCTGACTTCATGTAGTTGAGTTCCCGGCGCTGTGGGGGCCCAACCGTTTGTTGTCAGATTCAGACTTCTTCCTGTAGCTTTTCAGAGCTCTTTGTTACTTGGTTGCATGTCAGGTGTTGTTGTCGCACTGCCGCGCTGAACTGGACGGTTGCATGTGATTCCTATTCTAAATATGTAGCTAAAGGTGTGAGGCATCATTTGGCTATGAAAATCTCAACAAAAGCCAGTTTTCATGTGTGTAATTATCATATGAAGCATTAATCTTTCTGTGTTGGAGCAATGCACTAAGCTTTTGAACTTCAGATAACGAGCTCTCTTTAGCATCTTGGCTTTTGGAAATATTTCCAGTTGCAGAAAACAAAACCAATAGGTGGAAACTGTTAAGGAAGATTTCTCTGAATTAGTTAATTTTGGAAAAAGTTTGGCTCTCTCTCTTCCTTTATGATCCCGGGTCCTCCAGGTGGGCCGCATGTAGCCACACAAAACAACGAGTGCAGACGTCACAGAATTGCAGTGTAATCCAATAGAAGACAACGCATAAAATTACAACAGAAACTGCAGAACAGCAGAGACATACATTCATTTGCCTGACGTAAATGGAAAGAAGAAGAAGGAAAGAAAGAAAAGCAAAGACGTGTAAAGACATCTTTGGAGAATTGCAAGAGCAAGTCTAATTTGTTACTTCTGTGTAGAAAGTTTTATAGTGAAAGCGTATTCCTATCTTTAATTTATTCAAATAAGGCGTATCTTTGCTCATCCAACCAGGAGCTATCTCTGACCCTCTCTCAAGCCAGTAACTCCTGTTGTTTTACGGCTTTTCACAGATGAGTGTGAAAAACTAGAACTTCTACTTATTGTTTTCCCACACAGACAAAAGGCAGTTCAAACGATCCTAGCAAACCATCTGCAGTAACTACAGGTAAAATAAAGGTCAAAAAGCCAGAATACATTACTGATTTTAAAACCACAATTAGGCTATTTGAATCAAGACATGTAAAGTTTTAAAACTAGCTTATTTTAAATGTATTTTCTTAACAAAACCTATCCATCTCAATAAGTCTGACTGGCAAAACCAATTAGATCAAATTAGATGTCTCCTTTTAATAGCTGTGTTAATGTTATAATAGGTGGAAACAGTTGTATTTTTAGTCCAGATAAAGGTGACAATCTCATGGTATTTCATAGCTAGAATTCACAAGATACTTTCACATGCATTAATTAGCTCCTTGTGCATTGTAGAAAATATTTACTGTAAAGCAATAGCCCGATTTGGATATGATTTACTTCATATGTACACCAGTTCCGCTTTGTTCACAAAGCAGGTGGTGTTGCTCAATTCCAATCTTTTGCTAAATTTCATGGGTTTTTTCGTGATCTAATAATTAAAATGCGACCGCAATCATATTTCTGTGTTTACAACCCTAAAGCAACCTGCATGCACAGAAGAACGTTGACATAAGCACACTTCTTACAGAAGTAATAGTGTATGGAGTCGTTGATGGATCAATTTTAAAGTTTATTCAGAGATGGAAGTCGGCAGTATCGTCACAGCATCGTAACTCAAAGGAAGCCGATAAAAAGAAAGAACAACTAATACCAATGGCTCTTAGTGGAGCACTGACTGCAGTTCCTCTAGAAAAGTTTGTTTGGATATGTAGTCGGACCAGGAGTGATCGGATAGGGATGTGATGCGTTTCGCTGACTGTGACTTCTTTTGTAAATTCATAATTGTAATTTTCAGCCACTATTTGTCTGGATTTACAGTGTCTGGCTTTTTCTGGTACAGAATTATGACACATGCATCATAACAATGACACAAGAGTCAAATAAAACGACCGTACAGACTGCAGACACTTTAAGAACTATCAGATTCATATGGAAGTGGCACCGATCAGATTTTTTTTGAGAGGTTAAAAGATTGGAATTGGGCCTTTCAGACTGCCATAAAAAAGTTAGATATGAGTGATATGGGTGAGAAAAATCAGATTTGGGTTTCATTTACCTGCTGTGTGAACATAGTGTACTGGTATGTAAATATTCGATTTGGACAGAACTGGCACTTCAAGATTCAGTGTGAGAAAGCAACGTTGTGGGGTATGTTACAGGCAGTTTCAGGAGTTAATTGCTGTTTGAAGAAATGAGCAATGTTCACGAGACACAGATGATGTTTTGTAGACACCTCAGAAGCTCTCAGTGTTGTTTGATCCAAGTTGGCAAGCTCCATAAAGTGATGGTAATGCTCCCAATTCTGTATGTCAGGTGAAAAATGGTAAACCCTTCATCCGCCTGACATATATCCGTTTGAAGTGTTTACCATTTACCTGGCTGTAACTAACCTAAAATATGTAATAGGTTGGTAATGTAAAAATAATTCATGAAAAATAACCTCATCCTATTATTTGTGTTTACTGTAAACTGAGTTGCCTTCTATATCAAGACTTTGTCCTGGTTAAATATGAATGCAGTAATTCTTCCGCACCACTATCTGCACTGTTTACAAGGCGATGCTTGACTGAACTAAAAACTAACAAGTCCAAACTGATTCTGTTTTTGGTGTGTTCTTAAAAAGTGTCTTGACCTAATGCCAGAAATTGACTTCTTGTCCAATAGGTTATTGTCTTAACAACAATAGATATTTCCACAATAAGGTGTCCAAATTTTATGCTGAGCCACTGAATACAATTAATAGAATAAAAGGGAAAGCAAAGTACAAAACTGAGCTCAAAATGGCGATGTTTAAGTACAAACTCATAGGATGTTAGAGACGGGTGAAGAAAAGAACTACCCTCAGATGTTTCCATGATTCATTTACCCAGCACAGGGCTTCGCCTCATCAAATGGAAACCACCATGTCATCCCCCTCCGCGTACACACGTATACACACAAGTTGGGTGGAGGATGAAATCCAAACAAAGCTTTTCTCCAGAACCAACAAGACCTAAACCCCAGAAAACCTGCAAATCTCACATCCTGGGCCGGAAAAGGTTTTAAACTTTCACAAGGGAGCAAATTAAACGAAATATGGGGGCTTGAGCTCGTACTGCGGGTCTGCAGACGATATTTACTGGAGATTACTTGGAACTGATAGAAAATCAGGGGTGAAGCCCCTCACCCGCCTCATTCTCCCCCATCCCAGTCCTGCCTGATAAACGTCAGAAGCTGTCCCGCAGTCCTGATGAGAATGCCCCGTTAGGTTCATCAAACCAACCAATGGAATGCGCTTAGTATAAATAAACAACGCTGGCCTACAACTGAACACGCAGGTAAATCAATAAACGTTCAAAATAAGAACGTGCTTAGAATGAAAAAATATGGCGAGCCGTAGAGGCACATTGAAATCTGGACCAGCGTCGATTTTTATCTCTAACGGACTCGCAGTCTAAACAAGCCTGGCAAAGCAGACGCGACGGCCCTGCGCAACAACGTGTCTGTTAAGCAGGTTTACCTACCCAGAAGATGAAATTTAAGCAAAACAGCAGGTATTTCATTAATTTGGTGCAGCCTTCGACTCCCATGGCGGTCCGATAATGCAGGAAACTGGCAGCGAAGTTGTAGAAACGTGTAAGCGCGGGCGAATAACAGGCTCGAGCTCAACTGGAAACCCCAGACTTGACTTACAGTGCTTGTGGAGGGAGGGGAGGTAACACCCAGCTCCTCCTCCCTCCTTCACAGGCTCGGCCTCGCCTCCCTGTAAATCCGTTTACTGTGGCTGGAAAAGTCTTTTCCCCCCAGCCCCCAATCATAGCAAAGGACGCTGAGACGCTGCGAAGAGAAGCCCATTTAAAGAGAGCAATATTTATTTTGTATCAATCCTAATATCTTTGATTACATTACTACGGTGTTCCAAAGGTGCCAAAAGTGTTTGCACATGGCTAGATGTGTACTGCACCTTGGTTGCCGATATCTACTAAACATGTGAGAGATAGTACTACTTGAGTCTGCTTAATTTTCAAAGGGGCTTCAGGTGGAAAAACTATCTTTTACCAATCTGAGAAATCATTTCACATTTTGAGTTCTAGTTTATTTTATTTTTTGTTCAATTTCTGATATCCTCTGTGCAGAGAGTTCTATGTTCTGTGTGCAACAAATTGAGTCAGAATGAGTAAGACTGAGAGGGATCTCGAAATCTATATGCAAAAACTGACTAGGATGCTAAATAAAGTGGAAGAGATAGGAATGACAGCAATTCAGGCACAAAGTGGTCTTGTAAAATCACAAAACAGGATCAGCCAATGCTGAAGCATAGGCCTGTCACGATAAACGATATATCAATTAATCGGACGATAAATTAAACCTATCAACCTCATTTTAATTATCGTCTTTATCGTCTCTTCCTGCCTTTTTTTCTTTCTGTTGATGACACTGAATAAAAAAGGCTCAACTCCGGTGCTCTCCACTTACCCCACCTTCCTCATTTCCTTAGTCTAATGTCCAGCGCAAATTACACGAGTTGTCGGCCGACTGTCGGCCTATTTTCAAAACCTGAGAGACACATTACATTTTTTTGTTAATGGAGATTGAGAATCCATTTTATTTTTGTTTTTCGTTGTTTTGTTTTAGTTTATCAGTTTCAGTGTTACGTGTTATTTTGAAAATAAGGTGTATCTATAAGGAAATTGCATGTATTTTTAGTCATTTCCATGAAATCAGTGTCAAAAAGTCTTGAAGCAATATTATCGTTTATTGCAATAATTTTTTTAGACAATTAATCGTCCAGCAAAATTTGTTATCGTGACAGGCCTACTGAAGCATATTTGGTACAGAGGTCATCCACATGTCTGCTGAGTAAAAAGCTACTGAACTTCAAAATGCATAGCCTTAAGATGAATTTGAGGTCAGAGTGAAAAGGGCTTCTTGGAATGACACTCCATTACAGAGAGATTGCATCCAAGCCTTTTATCACCACGTGTAATGCAGAGCAGCAGATGCAGTGGTGGAAAATACATGGCCGCTGGACTCTAGAGCAGGGAAGACATCTTCTCTTGGAGTGAAGACTCACCCATCACTATTTGGCAATATAATAGTCGAGTTTGGGATGGTACAAGACATTGTGGATAATTGTAATTTCCTGACTCTGTGGTAACAGGTTATAATGGCCCCTTCAGTTCTTACAGGTACAAGAGCGCATAGCAAGGTCTGTAATGACATCACTGAGAGAATTCTCTGCACAGAGCCCTGACCTCAACTTGAAACAACTCTGGGATGAATTAGAGCAGAGATTGTGAGGCTGGCCTTCCTGTTCAACATCAGTGTCTGACCTCAAAATGCTTCTGGAAGAATGGTCAGATATCCCCATAATTAACACTTCTAAATCTCGTAGGCAGCTTTCCCAGAAGACCTCAAGCTTCATACTTGCAAAGAGAGGGAACGTATCCAAGCCTTTGTATTTAAAAAAGGATCTTTCTCATTATTTCTGTCTCTTATTACCTGTCTCATGTTGCATGTAGTAAACAGAAATAATTGCATCAATCTTAACTGACCTAAACCAGGGAAGGTTTAGACTAATTTAACTTAACAATGTGAGAAAAAGAATGGTTTTGTATCTTTTTTTTTCTTTTTTTCTACAGTGTATGCGAATAGCCGGATACTACTTTAGGGCAATGAACCTGACAATATATATTTTAAAAGTCATACAAAAAAGTGGCATGTATGACAATAAATTGCTAAAAGAGGTAAGTTCACCTTTAGCAGCCCACGCTATATGTGTCATTGTTTAATATTACCATTCTTATTTAAACGATAGCAGAATCCCACACAAAATATAAATTTAGACTTTCTGTTCTTCAGTATTAAAAAGAACATAACCTAACAAAACCAACCCACTAGCATCAACTGAGCTAGTGCTTGAGGTCAAGATACAAATATTTAAATGTTTGAAGACAAACTGTAGTAATAATGTAGTAATAACATAGAATATAGCAATAACTATAGAGCAATAAATTACAATAATTCATCACTCCCAATCCCTAAAGTGAACCACAATTTTAACATGATCCCTTATGTTAGAAAAGCAGGCAGTGGTGAGTGGGACAGTGGGCAGTCGCAACTGGACAAGTGGGTTTGGATGAATCTGTTTTGTATGGATGTCTAAGAAGATGCCAGAAGAAGATTGTTCATGCTGACCCAGATAAAAATAAATATACAAACACTAAAGTTTCAGTAATGTCTGACCTTTGCCAGATTTTAGTCAAACAAAATATAAATAGATAAAGGGACATATCCATGTAACTTTCAGTAGGGAGATGAGTGAGAGTCTATGACTTTACATGGGAATATGATCAATTAGCTTCTAAGTGACAGAGACTTCTGTCTTCATTGGTTCCTATTTAGAAAAACATGCAGCAGGACTGATGCATATTTAATTGTTTTAAAAGGAAAACCTATTGCTTTCCATTAGGAACACAGGGAGCCTTTGTTTCCTAAGGGAAAAACCCAAAGGCTGTTGAGAAAATGTCGTTGCAGTGAAAGTATGTACACTTAAATTGTTAGTGCCATATATATAAAATGATAAATGGGTAAAATTTATATAGCACCTCTCCAGTCATACTGACCATTCACATTTATACACCAGTGTGCAGACCGGTAAGCAACTCAAGGTTAAATGCCCTGCCCAGGGGTACATCAACATGTGAAAGAAAAATGCTGAAATCTAACCTCCAAGTGCAAGAAAACCACTTGCACTTAGACTGCAAGAGGTTGCCTTGAACAATGAAGGAAAATGACTGTATGTCCCAATGGAGAAACCTTATCTCATTTAAAAAACAGGGTGGTTGGGCCTCATACTGGGGTCTGCTTTACTGCATATTCCAGCAAAAAATTAAATATCTGGACATTTAACCACAAACTAAATATCTGTAGCATGTGGGTTTTATTTTTCATAAATACCAAAACCTTATAATCATAAGCATGTGCAAAGAACAATTAACTAGTGAATGTACCGCCTGTATATCACACTTAAAGTGATTTTACAGTAAATACTACACAGCATTGTGTAACAGTAGCACTGTGGCCTTGCAGGGAGAAGGTCCTGGTTCAAATCCGAGCCTGGGGTCTCAACTCCATCCAGATTAAAACATGATTTTAATAGAGCAGAATTGTACAGGAAAGCAATGACCAGGCTACTCTAAGGTGTGAGTGTGTACATTCCTGTTGTCTTATGGTGGACCAGTGTGCCTGTCTGTAGCAGAGTTAAATAAATAAATAAATAAATAAAATTATTTATTTATTTATTTATTTTTTCTTTATGAACCTTCTCAAAACTAATTTTCTTTGAATTGACATGTCTGTTATATATTATTTCTGTTTTATATTGCTTTTATTTTTGGTTCTTAGTGTGTAAAAATCCATCCTCATCTATTAATATTTGTTTTCCTTTGTTTTTTAATTGTATTTTATTTTAGTGGAGAAGCTTTTATTTTTTTACTTCCTGTTTTTGTGTCACATCCTGTGTGTTCCCGCTGCCCTCCTCAGTTCACGCCGAGTTGCTCTGAGGAGAAGTTAGGGTTTTTCTGTTTGTGTATTAAAATATTGAAAATGTTCTAAAAAGTATGTTGTAAACGCATAAGTTTTTATATATATATTATTATTTAATTGTTTTATGTTTAGAGCAGCACCTCACTGGGCATTTAATTTCCACGTTTGTAACATCTATCAAGTTTTCCTTGCCAAGATGATTATTTTGTGGTTTTTTTGGTTGGTTAAGGTGTGTGTGAGGAAGCTGAAGCCCAGGAGCTGCTGGAATAAAAATGTTCTTGTTTTGAACAGGTATGTGTGTTGTTTCAAATTGTATTTGGATGTTAAATTAATGGATTTAGTATATTTCTATGTTATGGTAGAAAATTGTAATTATTGGGCAGATTATTTCTGTTTAGGTTTTATTTTAATTGTTTTGTATGACTGTAGATTTATTTTATTAGTGAACCTCAGAGAATTTTTGTTTTGTTTAATGCATTTCTGTGTGAGTTCCCGCCAAGTTGCGCTGAGGAGAGGTGTGTGTGAGGAACTCCTAAAATAGCACATTGGCTTAGAGAGTTATCTGTGAAGCCATGTAGACTTCAATATTTTGTGAGTCATCTTTCTTCTGTGAACGTCCAACTAATTATGGGGTTGAAAAAGATAAAAAAAAAAAAAAAAAAAAAAGCTCAAAGGCACAATCATTACCGGATTCGCATTAATTAATCTTAATGTTTGTCATTCCAAACATGCCCATATTTTCCTGACTTGATGGTAACCTGAGCCCTTTCATTGTTCATTTGTATTATTTAGGTCATCCTCACAGCTCGTTTTAACAGATGTACTCTCCTTTTATAAATACATAAACCATCATTTTATTTCACTGACATGAGTGCATATGTAAACATTAGAATACAAGTGTAGCTGCTCTAGCTCTTGTAACTACATTGATTAAAAAAAATAAATAAAATAAAATTAAAGTTAAATTAATTAACAGTAAAATTAATCTTAAATTCATAAGCCTTATTATGGTACTTTAAGTGATTAACTTCAGTGAAACAGCTTTTGTAAAACAGAGAGCTGCCTTTAGATTAGTTAAATACAGCCCAGGAAAACCATGTATCTCATTATGTATTTGTAATAACTGCTTGCATTGCACTAATAAAGTATGGAGCTAAGCTCAGTGTTTTCTATGAACAATT